TCATAGATGGACAGAATACCTTTATTTGTTTATTTTTATGTGGTGCTAAGGATCGAACTCAGTGCCTCATACATGCTAGATATTTGCACTAGAGTCATGCCCTCCCACCTAACTGGGACCCTGAGCTGCACACTCATACCTCTGGATGCAGATCAAGTAGAAGGGACTTGTGATCAGAGTTGGAGCTAAGCCAAAGTTGAGGTTTATGCTCAGGTTTAAGGATTCTTCTGTCCTTCAAACACTACAGGTAAAGACAGGAAACAGTTCTTGGAAGGTAGAGCACAACATATATAAGTGCAACCATTTGGCTCAATGGGTGGGTCAGTGGTAGAGCCTAACCAGCATGCATGAGGCCCTGGGTTTGATCCTCAGCACTGAAAAGAGAAAAATCTTGAACAGTTTATTTTCCTACTCTCTTACTTAGTTCCCTGCCAGTCACTTATATGTGGAAGGAAATGGCACAGTGACTTGACTTGACTGAATATGGACATCACTTCAGGTGACACAGCTTGTAGCAGTACATCTAGCTTGTCCTTTCAGAGGGAGCCCTAGGTATTAAGGCACTGAGGGAAAGTGCATGAGAATTTTTTGTTGGCACTTAGGCCCCTTTTCCAGCCATTTCTTGTCATTTAGCCTATGCCACAAATATGTCCTGAGTTGTACCCTCAGTACCTTCTTTCATTTAGGGATCCTTGGGGAAGGATCAGAATCTAGAAGACTCAGTAAGTAAATGCTGCAAAGGTAAGGGAAATCCTCTGGCGATTTAGGGCTGAATAATCACAATAGAGACTTGGGAACAAGTGGGAGTGGCAAAGGGTGGGGGGCAAGAATGCATTAGAAGAAAACTACACATCTGGGCTGGTGGTGTGGCTCAGTGGTAGAGCGCTTGCCTAGCACATGTAAGGCACCAGGTTCAATTACCAGCACTGCATATAAATAAAAACAAAGGTTCATCAATATCTTAAAAATATTTAAAGAAAACTACACACTTGATGTTGAGAGCTTAGCTGAGGTTTAAAAGGATAAAGGCAGTTAATGATACAGGGGAATGGGCTGGTGTTTTAGCTCAGTGGTAGAGCACTTGCCTGGCACATGTGAGGCATTGGGTTTGATCCTTGACATCACATAAAAGTAAATGAAGGTATTGTGTCCATCGACAACTAAAAATACTTTTTAAAAAAAGATATAACGGACAAAACCATGAGCAATACCAATTAGTGGCATGGTTCTCTGAGAGCAGTGTCAAAGTTAATAGCTTTGATATAATTCAGTGGTAGAGCACTTGCCTAGCATGCATAATGTCCTGGGTTTCATTCCAGCACCAAAAATAAATAAACTGCTTTAAAAAAAAGGAGAGGACAATAAGTGAGGCTCGGCTTTGTGATAGTACAGTCTTGTGCTGCATAATGACATTTTGGTCAATACATGAGTGATGAGATTGTATCACCTAGGGACATCTTAGTCATCTGTATAAGTATGGTGTTCATACAACAACGAAATTGTCTTACAATGCATTTCTCAGAAATGTCCCTAAATTAAGCATTATAGGACTGGTGTTATGCTCGAATTTGGGACCCCCGAAAGACCACCAGAGATCAAGATTGATGTAAGCAGCAAAGAGGTATTTATTGCAAGCTAGCTCTGTCCTCTGCGCACACACAGCAACTGGTGACGCTGAGAGGCCCAGGGTTTGCAGCAGTTTTATACATTCTTTGGGGAAGGCAGGAACCCCACATACATCATAGCATCTCTTAGCAAATCATCACAGACCGCAGGAAAATCAAACAACTCTAAAACAT